TGTGATGGACACTAGAAATGGGAGCGGCTCGCGCTTTGTTTCCACCCAAGCTAGGCTGTTTTTGGCCGGGCGTGAAGACCAGGGGGGGGGGGGGGATGGAGAATGGCTGCATGAACAGGCCGGTTGGCTTTGGTGTGGATGGGCCGCTGAAGAGGTCGTATTGGAAGATTTCTAGTGTTTTGCTATTTCTTTGCGGAAGAAGTCTTTTCTTGTCGTTACGTCTGGCCACGTCATGGTAGACAAGGGGGTGGGATGGCGGAAGTACTGCAAGGTGAGGTCAAGGATCGATCAATGTTGGAGTCGTGGTAATACCCTGCAGTTTTTTCGCTTCTTGCTGACTGAGAGTAGTGTTTATGGCCTTGACAGACGCAAGACAAAGGAGAGATGTTACGATAGAATGGGATGATCGAATCATCAGCTTGAGTTGCTTGCTAAAAGTTTATCACACTGGCAAATTGTTACAAGGCATCATTTCCGGCTTCAGAGCACATCCTTGTTATTGCGGCGAAAGCGGCGCTTGCAGGGATGTTGTATGTACGCTGCAATGTGATCACAGCCTCGTTGTTCATTTGCAAAAAGGCCCCTGGCGACGGGATTAGAGATACCAAGCGGATTCCAACGGCATGTTCTACGTGTACCTGTCGTGTGGTTCGATATCAGAGATGGATTGATTTCTTTTCCAGATCCCACTCGAGGTGAAGATGCACGTCTTGTCGTTGATTGTTATATCCATGACTGATCGGGTCCGGAGAAAAGACCGTCTGAGCGTCTTTATTATGAATCAACAGCCATATTCAGATCGAATCCATTGAGGCAGGACTTTTTGTGCGGCTTAAATGAAATTCGAAACAAGATCTTGTCGCTCTTGGCCGGATGGGAGGCCGTGTAAGTGGCGGGGCGTTTGGGGTGGCTGTACCTTACCTTACACTTACAGTACATGTGCTGGTACCGCCTACATGCAAGTGGGAAATTGCCTATTTGGGCTGCGGCGGGATTCTGATGAATTCCCTCCGTGTCGATGTGGAGATGCACAGCCATCAACTTGATAAGAATCAGAGTGAAAGCAAAGATGAAAGGTTTGCTAACAAGACAACATGCGTAGCAGTCAATGGTTTGAGCCTCCATGCATGAGTAGGGGGAGAAGGCTGAGCTCAAATGGCCTGACGGCGCCGAGGCATCGGCTGTTTTGGCATGCGGAGCACGTACTCGGTACTTGCGCTGGAGCAGAGGCCCTAAAATCCCGGGGGCTCTCGGCGCGGCAGCCGCTAAAGCGCCGCCAAAGATGGAGCGCCAACGGGGCCTAAACGGTGTGCCCAACCCCACTGATCGCAGCCAGGGAGAGGTGCGTGTACCCCGCCAAACTGCACTGCACCGCACTGCACTGCACTGTCAGTCCTGTTGCAGCTCTCAGCCGGCGGTGATCTTTGGGAGAAAATGACAGCACCGTGTTGTACGGTATGAGGTATCATATCTACGCAGACCGTAATGACACACTGCATCCCAATAGCCTTTTGATAGATACCTCGTCTCAAGACGCTGGTAGGCCCTGTAAGTTCCCATCTCTGCATTAGCACGCACTAACAGGCCACTAACAAGCACTAACAGCTGCACTGAGACCGGGGAAAAACTGAAGGAAGCTGCCACACACAACTGCCTCCATCAGGCAACTACCTGTGGTTGCATCGCCGCGAGTGTTCCTGCCTTGTGCTGCGTGCAGATCGGCTTGCGGACCCGAGCAAGTGCGAAACAGCTCCAAGTCACTCCTCTTTTCACACTCTCTTCTTTTCTCCAACTCCAACTCATCTCCATCATTCGTCCTATTCCCGTCTCGTCCTTTTCTCTCACCTTCTCCCACCCTGGTCTTTTGGGCCTCAATACCGGACCCGCGGCCGGCCCTGGGCTGTCTGCTGTCGCTGTCGTCATCACGCAGATGCGCAGCTAGGCGCAGACGCAGACGCAGACGCAAGCACAAGCACAAGCACAAGCACAAGCAGACGCGAGAACAGCAATCAGCGCAGCACAGCACAGGATACAGCCTGCTGCAGCGCAAAGCGATCGCGGACGAATAGGAGGCCGAGTAAGCTGGCAAGGCTCAGCAGGTAGCGCCAGCGAGCTGGAGCCACAGACGACAGCCGACGGACGCATCACGCAGCCAGTGCTGCGGCGTGTCTGCGGTCGAGGGCGACGCCGCATCAACGCCTACATGACGGCTTGCATCGAGCACACGGGATTGTCTGTTTGGTAGCGACTCTGACGGGTTGTCACGCTTGCTTTTGCTGCCCACCAGCAGGACCGACGGTGGCCGCTGCAGCTGGCCTCATCAGGGAGCAGAAACAGAGGCAGAGGCATCAGCAGGCATCAGCAGCGGCTGCAAAAGCGTCAGAATCAGTATTCACAGCAACGTTAAAATCTGCGGCACCAACCACTGCGGCATTGTTGTTATTATTGGTAGCTTCGGCAGTCGAACAGCGGTAGCCATATTCCTAGACTCTGTACCAAAAGTACTTGGTCTTTCCAGAGTGAGTATACACACCGCAGCACGTCCACGCTCTTACTGCACGGAGGCGTGACGCCTCTAACCGCGGATCTTGTGGCCGCCCCCCATCCGCCGTTGAAGCCACAAGCGCGCTCTGAAATCCCTGCAGAGTGTCGTCGGGGTGACATCAAAGCCTGTATTATGTAGGTACAGACTACTGCGGAGACTCGGCACTCTGTACGGACAGACAGGCGGGCTTGGCTTGATGCTTACACGGCGGTATTCGTACTCCATACATGGTCCATACATTGTGCTTCAAAGTCTGCACTTCCTTCCCTTTACAGCTTTACAGAGCCACTTTCACAGCCCTGAGACGAGCCAGACGTTACCTTGGTGGCCTTTGTCTCATGATGGTGATCCAGATAGATTGCCATCATGCTTGTAGTACTAGATGCCTTCCTGGCTCCCTAGCGTTCCTCCATTAACTGAGACATCGATGCTCGGCTAACTTGTGATTTTCAAGGAAAAGAAGAGAGAAAACGAGGAGAGAGGCATCAAGGGCATCAAGATTGTAGTGAAACAGCGAATCGCGTGATGCTTCCTCTCTCCCTTTCTTGTTTGTTCAAATTACTGCCAGCACAAAAGTTGCTCAAGCCTAATCTGATAGGGGCGTGATCGGCAACCACCCGTTTGCCGTTTTCCGCAGAGCGAGAAAACAAAAGACCAATACCAGAGCTTTTACGTGATAGCTTCCAGGCTGGGTGATTAGAGCGACAAACACGCCAACAACGAAGGATTATTTCATCATTCGGGTGCATTGATGCTTGGCCAGTTCGCCACTGCCAGCTCGTCTACCCGATCTTCGCTTGTCTATCCTACATACATGCAGACTGCATACAGACTACTTCACTTTTACCCCGAATATCTCGCTACTACCTGGCCCACGTCAAACGCTCCGTGCTCGGACGCTTACCGGCGAGAACAGAAGCACTGCAGAGGCGTGTGAATCGCTCCTCGCCAGCATTGATCCCGGTTCGATACCGTCATCCATCGCTCGGAACGGTCACGGCCATGGCCAGCTCAACGCCCCAGAAGGCCCAACCCGCGGCCAAAGACAAGGACCAGGCCCAGGCCCAGCTCCAGCTCCCCTTGAGGCTGGCGACCCCTGGCGGCAGCTGCATGGATGGTGCCAGCTCTCATGCTGTGACCCCGACAACTCAGGATAGCTGGCATTCCGCCGCATCTGCCGGTGGATCTAGAGACGTGTTCTCATCACTATCCGGGCTTCGCGACGGCCAGAAGCCCTCATCCGCCGTCGCTGCGTTTAGTCGTGGTAGCGCCTGGTCACCGCCATGTCTGGAGACTTTGCCAAGCGAAGTGCTGGCACATATTGCGGGCTTTCTCGATGTTGATGACTTGTTACGTGCGTCCCGTGTAAGTGTGGTGCCGAAGACCGTGCCGTGCTGACTGCTGAAGAAATTGATTTGAATCTGGTGTTGTCACTTGTCCTCGCCAAAGTCTCTTTTGGAATGGAACTTTTGAATATGTGCCATTGCTAATTAGCCTGTTGTAGACATGCCATCGCCTTCGTACAATCTCTCTTGACCCTTTGCTTCACTACTACCGCCTCCGCGATGCCCGTCTTCTGCTTCCTCCGCTTCTCAGCTCCCCGTGTCGTCCATCGCTCACTGAGCTCATGTCCCGCTCCATCTTCTTGACCAACAACAGCGTCATATCACGGCGGCTGGCACGGTCTCTTGTCTCGATCCGCCTCTCGCGACGTCTCGCCTCACGGCCTTCCGCTAGAGATCTTGTCCAACGATCTGTGCTGCCCCAGGAATGTGTGCCGGGAATGTTTCCGGTGCATGTTGCTCCGGGTTTGGTAGCTAAGTGTAAGGCTATTGAGAAGGAACGCCTCAAGGACGGCTTGAGCCGATGGATTTCTGGCAAGTGGAAGGGTGAGGTCAAGGAGCGAGAGGAAGACGCGCGGAGGTACGATGAGATTCGTGGTACGGGGCGTGTTTGGAGACTTCGTCGTTTCTGGGAGAGAATGAGTCATGGCGAGTTGTCAGCTCATCAGAGAGGCTCTAGGGGTCCAATGGAGACTTGAGTAGAGTGATGATGGCAGGCCGGGCGATGCTTAACATTGAGATGAACGTGGGACAATGCGGCGTCTTTTTCTTTTTTAAAATCATGATTTGCGATATTGATATTGATATGCTTTGAATTCAAGCTGGTGTTTTGCTTCGTTTTAGCAGGGTATGGTGTAATTGCTACAGGAGTTATAGTTATGGGTATCTATATATACATATATAGAGCAGTGGCTGATTTGACAGCTTTCAGCTATGAGAATGAGATGCAGGCAATTATTCAAGTGCCGATGCGCCGACCTCATGCATTGGTATTTCTTTAGTATGACACGAAGAGTACGAAAAAGGTTGATGAAGAGAGAGAAAAGAACCTTGGCTTTATGCATTTATACTGCGCCAGCGCCATCGTAAAGTCTGTATTTCATTCGCCTGTCTTACCGCCCTGTTCGGAAGCGGAAACCATCCCAGTCGTCTTCATCATCCTCATCGTCTTCGGCCTCTGTGTCATCCACATCCTCAGCAGCCTTGACATTCTCCTTTGTTTCGTCGTCTTCTGCACCAGGTGTAGGTTTTACAGTCGCCTCCTGAGGCTTGGGAATGTCTACAACAGGTTCTACGAGACTCTCTCTCCGGGTACGTAGCAAGGCCTCGCGCTTCTCTTTTAGTCGCTGGACTCGCGCCTCGAGCTCTTGCATCTCTTCGAATTCGTCTTCCAGCGCGCGGGTAGCTTCCTCGCGCTCGTCTTCGATGTCTGCGTCGGCTTTGGACTTGCGGGACTCGGGGTTTTGGGCTTCTGTTTCGGCGGCCAAGGCTTCTTTTGCGAGGGCGGATTCTTCGGCTGTCATTGCGGGACGGGAGATGGTGGCGTCGTCGTAAGAGGGTACTGCGGCGGTTGTGGCAGCGATGTCGGCTTCGAAGGCGGCCCATTCGTCTTCGTCGACTTGTGCTTGTGCTGTTGTTGTTGTTGTTGTTGTTGTTGTTGGAGCGGTGGTGGTTGTGATTGTGGTTGTGGTAGAGGGTTGAGGGTTGGTGTATTGGACGCTCATCATGGAGGAGGAGGATGCTGGAGTGGCGAGGTTGCTGGCTTGGCGGGAGGGAAGGGATGTTGTCATCGTTGTGGTTGTTGCTATGGCTGCTGTTGCGGGCTGAGAGTGGACGGAAGAGGAGGATGAGTGCTCGCGATGGTGGATTGGCGTTGAGGATCTGGAGGGGATCTGGACTTCGACGCCTTGAGATGGCATGGTGGATTTTTTGCGAGACAGATCAGAGGCTTCGGGTTTGTTTCGTTTCCTGCGCTCGTCTTGGTCGTGGTCCATGTCTAGGTCCTCGTCGTCTGTTCCCAGATCATCGATCTTTCGTTTCTGCGAGGTGGTGGACATTGCGTCGTCTGCTGCTCTAGCATCGTCTTCGCCAGCTTCAGCCTCGCCCTCAGCCTCGTCCTGGTCATCTTCTTCGCCATTGGGTGCAGCAGCAAGCAGCTTCTTGTGCTTGTCGCTCAGGAGGTGGGCGTCCCAATGGGCCTCGGCGCGGATCTGGTCGCGGCAGAGGGTGCAGAGGAGCTTGCCGGCGTCGGAGTAGGTGGCGAGGGGGTGGGTGATGCGGCGGGCGGCTCGTTGCTGGCGGAGAAGGGCGCGGACGTCGGCCATGGCGATGTTCGAATGGGATATGTGAGTTCAGGAGTATAGTAGGAGAGCTTGGAGCTCTTGGAGTTGATGTTGGAGCTGGGATTGATGATGAGGAAGGATTGGGGAGATGATGCAATGTTGATTGATTAATTAGCCAATGTTGGATGTTAGAAAGGTGAATATGGATATGAAAGAGAAAAGAGAGTCAGCAAAAGAAGAAGCATCGGTATTCAATGGCTCAATGGGAGGTCGACGGGACCCTTGATATGGAGGTTTCAAGCTATAAGAGACCCCAGCTAGTGACTTTTTTTGTAGTTGGACTTGGAGCCTCGGGAGGACGTCACAGTCGCGAATGGTCGGCGCCGACAATTTTCCGGCAGTGAGCTGCCATGCCACTAACACTGCGATTAGTGCTATCAGATGCCCATTCCAATCATCTTCAATCTATTCATCTTCCTCTCATTCTGCTTTTACCTCTGCCTTGTGTATCCTCCCCCGACCCCAATGAGGTGACATTTCGATTCTACCAGCTTTCACTCAAAGCGCGGGGAGGGGGTTTCACGGGTCCATCGACAATAGCGAAATAGATATTCTCATCAGCTCAAGAGCGCAGCAATGGCCGAGCAGCAGGAGCCTCACTCGCTGGCTTCGACGTTTCCAAACCCGCCAGACTTTTGGAAAGCCTTTACGCCGGATAGGATCGCCAGGATTGAGGAGCTGCGACGAGCTCATGCGGCAGACGAGGATACGGACACAGAGGGCGCGGATACAGAAGTCGTGCGGATCGCGAATCTGCCTGAGGACCTGATTGCGCTGCAGCCGCCCCCGGAGCCGGCAGATGGACGATGGCGCGTGTTTGGCGACCAGTACATGGTGCGTATAGAATACAGCCCTCTACAGTATAGGTATATCGTCTAACTGTGGTTCCCAGCTCGACGACAAGCTGCCCACGCTCGAGGAGCAAGGCATCGACAACCTGCCCGCCACAAACTCGGCCGCCGACAAAGACGCCAAGCACTACGACCGCGCCTTTGAGCTCAAGCGCCTCGCCAAGTCGCTGCTGCTCAACTTTCTCGAGCTGACGGGCGTCATGGCGCGCAGCCCCGCCGACGCAGAGGCCAAGATCAATGATCTGCGCACAGTCTTCATCAACATGCACCACATCCTCAACGAGTACCGGCCGCATCAGGCGCGCGAGTCGGCGATTGAGATGATGCAGGACCATCTGGACCGCACAAGGACGGAGACGGCGGCGATACGGACGCAGGTGGATAAGGCGCGGAAGGTGCTCGAGGGGCTGGGGAGCTTGGATTTGTCGTTGTTCAAGGGGGAGGGGTTGGCTGTTGGAGGGGGGGATGTGGATGTTGGGGTGGCGAGGACGGAAGAGGAGAGGGAGGCTGCTGCGTGGGCGACGGCGGATGCGTTGATCCTGTGATGAATGGTGGAGCATAACTATGGGAAGTTTTGAGTTGACTTTTGACGCGAAAGGTTGCGATTTGATGGGCATATCGAGCGAGCAGAGAATCATGATATCATATCGGGGCAACACAATGGCGGGACGAAGGCTGGGGACTGCTATATGGAGGAACTATTGAATGCTAGATACCAACTGAAGTTGATGAATTACGACATGGCGAGGAACAACGGTTATAAGCTCCTCACAAGGAAAATCAAGGACGGTGTATCAATCAGATGCACAAACCAGTTAATTAATAAAACCAATCAACAACCAACATATGAGGATGACAGTTACATAGAAATAAACTGTCAATTAAAGACTTCATATCACATCGTAACAATAACCAAAATTTGGTATCATCCATTACAGGCATTCCCTAAGCTACATCTAGACGTAAAACCCAAAAAATTCGCAAAGCCCGTCATACAAACTCGTACACTTCCCATTTCCCATTTGCCCTCACGTCCTTCTCACAGCTGGAACTCCAACTCCAGCTACGCCCCCAACAACTCCAGCAACAACCTGCGGTAACGGCGTTGCTGCTACGCCTCCCCCCTGACCATTCTCCGCTCCATTCCCACTGCCACTATTTCCAGCCCCTTCTTTCTCCAGCAGATCCGCCAAGTACTTCAAATCGTCTCTTGCGCGGGGATCTCTCTCGATAATCGTCTTGACCACCTCCCACTCTCGCCGCGACATCTGGTATGCCTGCGGAAGAATAAACTGCACCGTGGGCACGCTGATGAGCGGTCCTAGGACTTCCCTCGCCGTGACGACGCCGGCGTCTTGCTGGCCTTGTTTCCTCTGGTCGTCTGGGACTTGGTGATGTGCCGGGGGCGCTGGCGTTGTCTGAGAAGAGGATGATGACCCTGCCGCGGCGTGGGGAGATGGCGCAGGGCGGTTGAGATGCGGTAGCTGAGGGATGGGGACTGGCGTGGCGGATTGGCCGTGGCCGTTGGGAGGTGCGGCGGCGGGAGGGAATGGAGAGGAAGCGATTTGAGGAGTGGCGGGAGAAAAGGCCGGGCCGGAAGTCGAGTTGCTTCGCTGGTTGTATCCAGCGGGCGTAGGAGTAGGAGGAGGTTGTGATGCCGTCGACGCGTTGGCGTTGATGTTGGCAGCTTCGTTGTGCAGCATCTGCTTCAGCTGGTCTGGCTCGTTGCGGTAAACAAAGACAGCGAGCAACAGTGGCTCGGTCCGCGACTTGGGAATGTAGTTGTCCACCAGGTTGAGCATAAACTCGGGGTGGCCATCCTCGCCGGCGGGGACAGGCACTAGATACGTGTCTCGTACGTTGCCGGCGACCTTATTGCCAACGACGCCGTACCGATTCTTGCTCACAAAGTAGTTGATAAGGTTGTTGAACTCCTGCTTCGAGTCTGGCGATGTCGGCGTGATGTTGACAACGATGATATCGGTCAGGTTGCTATACCGTAGGCTGCACAGGTACTCGATGGCACTCTGCTGCGGGATGCGGCCGGCCACAGTCATTTGGCGCGGGATGAGCTTCGACCAGGGCCCAAACGACGCAAAGTTGGCGCCGCCAATGTGCTTGGCCGTCGCTTGGAAGTCGGCAATGGAGCTCATGGCCAGTGAGCCGCGCCAGATGACGTCGGGATCGGAGGCTTCCTCGGTAGGTGAGTAAGGAGGCGATTCATTGTCATCTTGTAACATACGATCCACGTCAGGATCGAACCCGGGCCCCTGTGTGTTAAGCACTGGAGCAGAGGGCCTGCGGCGGTGAGCTGCTGTGGGAGACTTGACGGCCGAAAACACCTTTCCAATGTCAAAGTTAGACTGGCTAGGAGATCGTTGGCTCAAAGCTTCATCGCCCAGCTCACCCGCTCCTCCAATCGACTCGCGCTTAACGTGCTGATTTTGTTGCTGGGGCTGGCTCTGTTTCTCATCTGCTCCGGCTCGAGGGCCTCCAGCCGAGGGCATCGGGGCATCGCTGCCAATCATGCCCTCGTCCTCGACAATCTCTTCGCCCTTGTGTGTGCGTCTTACTCGAGGGCCCGTCTCCGATGTGTACAAGATGGACTGCTTCTCAGCCCTCGCCTTCATCTCGGCCGTCTGCCTCTGCTGCTCCGACGAGGCAAGCTGCTCCGATGTCATGACGGCGAGCGTCATTGGAGAGTACTTTTGGTCCCAAAGCCCCTGGAACAACTCGGGATTGTGCTTGAGATTGAACGACAGCGATTTTATCTGCTGGCTGTACTCCTTCTGGCCTTTGGAAAGCGGATGGGTGTCAAAAACAGCGCGCTCAATCTGCAGCGCATACTTGTCGGCGAGGGCTTCCGCATTTTCATCTTCTGGCAGCTCGATATCGCCGCTTTTTGCGAGCGTCGAAATGACATGGGCAAGCGATTTCTTCAGTGCCTTTGCAGGGCCGACGCGAGTGCCGGGGAGCTCTCCGATGGACTGTGTCAAGTCTTCTGGTGGCGTGTATTTGACAGAATGAGCAGCGACGGGGACAGCCTCATCCTCTGATACGCGACGCATCTTGGTAGTCTATATCCGGTTAGTATTATGAAGTCGTATATATAGAAAATCGCCATTAGCGACATGACACGCACCTTTCCATCCACGTCTTGAGAGTCCTCTCTCGCCTTTCGCTTGCCCTGCTTGGTGGCAGCCGCAGCATCCTTCTTGTCCCTGGCCGCAGCATCCGGTGTGGGCGATGCCTTTGCCTGAGCGGCATCCTTTTCAGCATCCTCGCGGGTATCGCTGCCTCGCTTTCCCTTCTTCCTTCCGCCGCGCTTCTTCTTGCGCTCGGTTTCCTCTTCGTGAGCCTTGCGCCGGGCCTCCCACAGTTTCTCTCCACGCGCAATAGCGTCGAGCAGTTCCTTGTGGTTTTCCGGCTTGCACTCTTCGCACCAGTAGTTCTCCGGGATCTCGTCCTCGTACGAGCTCACGCCGACGCAGACGTTGTGCTGCCATACGAAGCACGTCTCGCACGAGATCCAGGCCTCGCCCGAGTCTTCGTCCTGCTCGGTGGCGCCGCAGACGCAGCGGATCACCTCTTCGGGGTCTTGCGACTGCTCCTTCTCCTGCACCTGGGCCTTTTTGTTCTTCTTGTTCTGTCGGCGTTTCGGCGCTGGGGCTTCCAGCTCGTCAAAGGCCTTGGTGTGCTGGCCTTTGGTTGCTCGTACCGAGCGTCGAGGTTCGGCTTCTCCTGCAATTGCTTCTCGTTAGCAAACATCCCATACATGCGACGACGTAAATCAGCAGTGCCGGATCAAATCAGATCAGATGGGCCCCAGGCCAATGAGTCGCATCGACGAAGACCGTCAGTTGTGGTTTTCTTTAACTTACCAGACATGGTAATGGAGCACGCGCAAAGGCGTCGCCGCAGCTATTGGGGGTGTGCGAGTCGACTAGTTTAATGCAGGTTCTACTATGGAAGCGACGCGAAAAGGGAAGAAAAAACTTTTCTTGCGTTGCGCTTCAGGCGGGCATATGGGAAGATTTACAAAACGGGCAAAGGCAGCAACTAGTAGGTAGTCACAGAACAGCTAAAAACCAACAGATTCCTCTCTTCAGCCCGAATTAATTTTTCAGTGCGGCCAAGTTCAAACCAGCAATCAACTCCTCCTAGATACAGATGGTATCGCGTGAGCTGCACCGTGATGGAAGGCTTTGGCGGAGCTACAAAGGCGGCGCGTGCCGATTAGCTTGCGAGGAAAAGAAAAAATAGCGAGCTGTTGGTGATGACGGCAGCTTGCGTGGGGTCGTCCCGGTAGCCCCTTGGAGTGGATACAGGTGGAAGCAAAGGCGGGTGGCGCGTCTTTGGCTGGTTGGCAGATGGCGGCAGATGCGGACAGCTGGCCCGACAAGCTGTGGATTTGGAGTTGTAGATAGCTATATCCTGGGGGGGTGAGATGAGATGAGATGAGATGAGACAAGATGCAATCGCAGATACAAGATCGGCTCCTTTGATAATGGAAGCCCAGTCACAGACAAAGTCGGTCTCCGATGACGGCGACAGGTGACGCTATTCCCGGCGTCTCAACCAACAGCTGCTCGTCGGTGTTCAACGTACTGTGGAGAGTTGAGAGGTGAAAGAGACAAGAAAAAGAGCAGAAGCGGAAGAAACAGAAAAGAGCTCTTGAAACTCTGCCCGCCCCAAGGCTGGCATAAGCTAAGCTGGTGACGGCCCAAGACTGGCTGGCTGGATGATGATGGGATGACGGAGCTTAGTCATGAAGGGCAAAAGAGAGTCGATTTGCTTCTGCCGGTGCAGCGTCGGCTATTTAATCGCCACTCGATACAGGTATGATGGAATCTTTCCTTCAGCCTTGTCTCTTGATGCCTCAGGCTAGTTCTAGACTATCCAGTTCACTTACATAATCTGATCCAACGGCAGCTGACTCAGCCAGCCCAAAGCGAGCAGCTCCAGGGTATCAGTGCACTTAGCAGTACCTCCAGGCTGTACCTCAGAAGCTACGCGGCGGTCGTGCCTGGAGCTCCAGTGGAAAGTGACGCCGGCCTTTTGCTTGTTCCCCTCCATACCCGAAGCCAATCCTCGAATCCGCTGCCTCATCGCCAACGAAGCCCCCATTCACTTGCCATTGTGTGCTTGTGCCATTAATTCCTCTCCGACTTCCATCTTGGCTTCTGCGGCAGCAAAAGAGATTGCCCCGCCAACATGTCCCGCCGCTACGATTCCCGAGTACGTCTGCGAGCTGCCATGTGCATATGCAATGTCAATATCAGCCAGACTCGCTAACCACAGCACATTTGGTGCCCTAGACAACCATCTTCTCGCCCGAGGGCCGTCTCTACCAGGTCGAATATGCGCTAGAAGCCATTTCCCACGCCGGTACCGCCATCGGCATCCTCGCCAAGGATGGAATCGTCCTGGCCGCCGAGCGAAAGGTCACCTCGAAGCTGCTGGAGCAGGACACATCCGCCGAGAAGCTCTACGTCCTAAACGAGTGCGTTGCCTGGCACAAGGACTCTGTTTACCCCCGAGAAATAATACTAACATTGGTGCAGCAACATGATCTGCGCAGTAGCAGGCATGACCGCCGACGCCAACATCCTCATCAACTACGCCCGCCAAGCCGCCCAGCGATACCTCCTCACGTACAACGAAGACATCCCCTGCGAACAGCTGGTGCGCCGATTGTGCGATCTGAAGCAGGGCTACACACAGCACGGTGGTCTGCGGCCGTTTGGCGTTTCCTTCATCTACGCCGGCTGGGACCCCCGGAGACAGTTCCAGCTATATCTCAGCAACCCCTCAGGAAACTACGGCGGATGGAAGGCCACAAGCGCGGGAGCCAACAATGCCAGCGCGCAGAGTCTGCTGAAGCAGGATTACAAGGAGGACTGCACGCTCAAGGAGGCATGCGGCGTGGCTGTCAAGGTTCTTAGCAAGACCATGGACTCTACAAAGCTGAGCAGCGAGAAGAGTAAGCTGTGACTGGTTCCAAATTGCTACACGAACAAGCCTGCTAACATTTGCATCTAGTTGAATTCGCGACGGTTGGACAGACTGAGGACGGCAAGATCTACCACAAGCTGTGGAGTGCCGATGAGATCACGGCGCTGCTGAAGGAGCACGACCTGGCCAAGAGCGAGGACGCAGAGGAGAAATAACAAACAAATAAACAAACATTTTAGAGGTGTTGAAACTATACGAGTAGACTAAGAATGGGCACTTAATGACACATGCACATACCAAAAGGGGGGTGAGAATAGCCCCAATCACAATTTGATGATGTGTCCCATGGCAGATATACGTGTGATGTGAGCTCTTGACTCTTTCGTTTTGAAGTCTTCATCTCTCCATGGAAATTCATGTACGCCAAACATACGTAAATCCCTGCGCTATGATACATTGCAAAATAGATGATCAAATCTTTCCATCGATCCCAGTCAGCTTCTCCGCGTTCCCAGCGGAAATACAAGACCGCTGTCCTGATCTTCCTCATCTCTCACGCGCTGCCATCCCGGTTGCGCCTCAGCAGATGGATGCGGATGAGGCTCCTCGCAAACAGGGCTCGTAAGGTGAGGCCAATGTCTCCTGTAGCTCCAGTACGCAACCGTCATGCCGAGCGCCGATCCAACGCACACATCGTACACATCATGGCGATAATCCTCGGTCCGCGAAATGGCTATCAGCGCAGCGCCAAGAAGGGGGACAAGGCAGATGAGCGCTCGGCTGAGATCGCGTCCACCTGTGTAGTAGTTGAAGACGTGCAGCTGACCAGCCAGAAAAAGACTCAGGAAGCCCAGGCCGGCAAAGGAAAAGGACGAGTGGCCAGAGGGAAACGAGCGCCAGCCGTCTTGCAGGGTGTGCCCATCGGGAGCGGTGCAGACGTCGATAGTGACGAGGACGTTGGGCTTGGTGTCTGCGGATGGCTGGCAGCGGGCGAGGAGGTCTGGTCGGGGGCGGCCAACGGCGTTTTTGACGACGTCGGTGATGAAGGAGGAGAGGACGATGGAGATGGCAAAGGAGAGGTAGGTGGCTTCGTGCTTGTGGGTGGAGGCGCGGGAGATGGTGTTGTAGGCGATGAGGACGCCTAGGGGGATGAAGAGGGCGTATAGGAAGTTGAGGGCTGTTGTGGTGAGTTAGATGAGAAGACGATGACGATGCGTTTACTAGGATAAACGTACGGACGGTGACGCGCTCATGCTCGGCGTGGGGATATGAGATGCGGAGATCGTTGGTGAAGAACATGCGATGGAACGGGTTGACCAGGTTGACAATCTAGGGGGGTCAGTATCGATATCAATATGAGGCTGTTGAAGTGTAGAGACGCACCAGCATCCACCCGGCTAGGAGGACTATGAAGCCGACATAATCTGGCGCATGAGTTTTCTGCATAGACGTCAGCGACTCTATTATTGACATATAGTTAGGTATGGTTCAACTGACTTTCCAGAATCTGGCCAGAGGACCCATTGAGGAGCTCGAATCGCCTTGAGTGGAGGTTCGCGAAGGCATGATTTGCGCTGGGCAGATGAGATAATTACAGCGAGGCGGCGATGATAACAATGAGTGGAAACTAGCTTATAAGTGGCATGTCCATAAGAACGGCTATTGTGGCTACGGGAACATTTGAGGTTTTGTTGAGTAACTCGAAAAGAAAAATGTTGGCTGAGTTCAAGTGAGGTTGGCGATGCTGGTAGTCGCTACAAAAATGGGGCTGGGTGCAGGGTAGGTGTACGTGGACTAGGCGAGATTTCAAGGGGACACGTCACGGAGGGTAGAAGCGTCCGGTGAACCGAGCAGATGCGTATTGAAATTGCTGTTGGTATTAGTTGAGATTGGAAGCAATAAAAAATTTATCCAGGACGAAGACACGGGTGTCGGGGCGAGTTGTTGAGCTTCATCATCAGTTGTAAGCTTTGATACATGTATACAGCCACACAGATTGGTATACAGTTCCAAATACATTTTGCTCATATCCCATATTCAAACACCAACAACGGTTCGATAAAATACAAATATACACGGTTTTACTTCACAGCCTCGGCTTTATTTCTTTGAAGCTCTTGGTAATCTCAGTAATGGCCGTCTCAACCGGCAGCCTCTCCATGGAACTCGCCCCATAAAAGCCATGAAGCCCCTTTACCCGACTGAGCACATACTCTGCGTCTTTCGGCGCCGCAATAGGCCCTCCGTGGCATAAAACAATAACATCCGGGTTGATCTCAACGGCCGCATCGCGAATCTCCTGAATCAGCTTCACAGACTCATCCAGCGTCTTGCCCGTAGCAGCGCCGATGGACCCGCTCGTGGTGAGGCCCATGTGTGCAACGAGAACGTCTGCGCCAGCACGAGCCATCTTCTTGCTCTCCTCGACGTTGAAGACGTACGGCGTGGTCAGCAGGTTCAGCGAGTGAGCTTGGCGGATCATGTCAACTTCCAGGTCGTATCCCATGCCGGTCTCCTCGAGATTGGCTCTGAACTGGCCGTCGATGAGGCCGACGGTGGGGAAGTTTTGGACGCCGGCGAAGCCTAGGTCGCGCAGCTGCTTGAGAAAGGTGGGAATGTCGCGGAAGGGATCTGTGCCGCAGACGCCGGCGATGACTGGCGTGTGCTTGACCACGGGGAGGACTTCATTTGCCTGTGGGACTTCATTCAGCTCCAGACGCATATAAGATGGCCTTGAACCCCCATAACAGAGAGTGTAAGTCAGCTTCTGCTTACCATGTCGACAACAATGCCGTTGGCATCGCCATACGGCATCAAGCCGGACAGGGACCCGCGGCCAGCCATGCGGAAGCGGCCGCTGTTGTAGATGATGATGAGGTCGCCGCCTCCAGCCTCGATGAACTTTGCCGATAAGCCAATGCCAGCGCCTGCGCCGACGATGGATTTGCCCTCGGCGATTCGCGCGCGGAGACTGGCCAGGATCTTGTCTCTATCTGTTGGCGGCGCCATGGCTATTTGCTGTTTCGTGTAAGTGAATTGTAGAACTTGTATTTAAAAGAGAATCTTACAATTCAATTATCTCTCTTTGAATGCGACTTAGCCGCTGGGAAACAGGATCCCGAATCAGCTTAGAAGACGACTTTCATAATGGGGAGCTTTGGCCGGATCCAGAACTGGCATGGATTTCTAGTGGAGAAGTGTCTCGTCGTTGATGTCAGATTTCCGAGCTCCCCCACCAAATAATCTACCCGCCACACTGTCTTGTTGCTTTTTGGTCGCATTGGCACCGAGTTTCTGGTTGAGCCTCTCGTCTCTTTTTTTTCGTTGTAGGTGTTAAGGATGCGTTGACGTCGGCACACCGGCGTTGGATTCCGAGCCTCATTGTCTCACAGGATGCCAATCGTAGATCTCCCTGCATAACCCCGCATTGGGCAGTTCTTTTCTTTCTATGATTGATTCTTGTTAATGATACTCTGCATGTTGGCCGAAATAAACATTTCATCTATCCAACAGGCGAATGACTGAGAGTATCTATACGCGAGAAGTGCAGCACTGCTTCAACCGCCCAACATGACTGTGGCCTTTGTCGTCATCATCGGCACTTGCGACACCAAGCTCCAGGAACTGATTTTTCTCAAAGACCAGATTCAAGATGGCACTACTGTCATGCCGTTTATTATAGACGTTGGACGAAACCCAGTTGAACACGAGGCCATCAATACCTCTCAGGCCAAGCTCCTATCAAGCCATGGCGATGGAGCTGATGTCTCAAACATGCCAAGGGCCGAGTTCGTAGAGCTCATGGCTCGCTGTGCTACCAAGGCAATTCGGAATATGTATGAAGCAGGCATGGTTGACGGCATCATCTCGGCGGGAGGTTCCAGCGGCACGGCTCTCGCAGCAGCTATCATGCGCGATGCCGTCTTCCCTGTTGGGCTTCCCAAGCTCATTGTCTCGACAATGGCGAGCGGCGACACACGGCCCGTGGTTGGCGAGACGGACATAACTCTGATGCACTCCGTCGTGGACATTGCTGGGCTGAATCCCATTTTGCGAGACATCTTGAGCAATGCCGGCGCGGCCATTGCCAACATGGCTCTGTCCCACGCCGCCAGAAAGGAAAAGAAGATGGAAGATGCAGCGGCAGAGTCAATCAAGAAGTGGCGGGTGGGCATCACCATGTTTGGCGTCACAACGCCTGGGGTCGATGCCATCCGCGCCCATCTCGAATCCAACTACACTGTCGAAACGTATGTTTTCCATGCCGTTGGCACTGGCGGCCGAGCAATGGAGCGGCTCATCCGCGAAGGCCAGCTCGACGCAATCATTGATCTCACGACAACTGAAATCTGCGATCATCTGGGTGGCGGAGTTCTTTCGGCGGGAGGAGAACGGCTGGAAGCCGCTGTTGAGGCCAGTCTGCCCAATATCGTATCTCTGGGTGCTCTTGACATGATCAACTTTGGCCCAAGGGATACGCTGCCTAAGAAGTACGAGGACAGAGTCATCTATGAGCATAACCCGACTGTCACGCTGGTGAGGACTTCGCCGGATGAGTGCCGTGAAATCGGAGGCTTCATCGCCGAGAAGCTCAAGAAGACCAAGAGGTCGGACATGATAGAAGTGTGGATTCCCAAGGGAGGCGTCAGTGTGCTTGCGGTGCCTGGAGGCGTGTTTGAGGATCCTGAGGCGGACAAGGTGCTGTTTGAGGCGATCAAAACAGGATTATATGGGAGTGGGATAAAAATTGTTGAGGATGAGAGAGACGTTAATGACAAGGGCTTTGCACGGGATATCGCAGAGGCTTTGGCTGCGAAGTTGGGGGTGCAGAAGAGCGATAGCTGAAGGGCTTTGCAGAACTTATCTCTTGCTATTATGTACAGCGAGTGCTACTATTTAATGAACATGAAAGTTTTATATAACTGAGATAATAAGCCTATCTTACTCTCACATGCATGCATCGGTTTGCCATATCCTGTATCTAAGATGCAAAGATGCAAGCCCAGTGTCGTCCGTGTAAGTCGTGGAGGCCAAGCTCGGGACTTACAGCGAGCGCTAGTCGCTAAAACAGCCGCCCTTAGGGGCAGCTCCACCCATGAATGGTGTCCCGGCTGCTGAGCCGACGCCCGGGACGCGTCTATTGAATCCCGGGAGCTTTCCAGCCCAACCGCCAAAAAATATCCAGCTCCAAGCTCAGCTTTTCTTCTTCAACACGCCAGCTCTCTGCGCCACCTGCACTCATTGCCGCATCTCCTCTGAGCCGCATCGCAAGAAATGCTCAAGTCTACGCACAAAGCGGCGCCATTGGCTCCTCTGCCGCCGGGATGGACCGAACACCAGGCTCCGACTGGCCACACCTATTACTACAATGCCGAAACCAAGGAATCGACATACAAGCGACCGGGCGTCCAGCCAGCTCAAGTCGGACCCCAGCCTTCCTTCAATCCCTACGGCGCCGTACCGAATCTCTCGGATCCAAGAGTCGCAAATGCCTACATGGCGCAGTTCAACCAGCCGCCGCCCCAGGCGCAAAGGGGCGGCTTTGGCGGCGCTCGAGGCGGATTCGAAGGACGGCCGCGGCCACAGCCTGTGGACAAGCCCAGGAGAAAAGAGGCAATTCCCGGGTGCGAGCCGTGGATTCTGGTGTACACAAAGTATTCGCGACGCTTCGTGTACAACCCACTGAAGAATGCGAGCTACTGGCGCATACCTGAGAAGCTCATGCCCGCCATTTTGGAAATGGACAAGAAGCGGATACTCAGGTCGACGGCGGGCGAGGACGAGAAGGAAGCAGATGACGATCAAACGAAAGAGGAGGAGAGCAAAGAAGCTGAAAAGACAGCTGCGGATGCCGACTACGAAAGCGATGCATACATGTACGACGAGATCGAGGTGGATGACGAAGGCCAGGTCGTAGATCGAGAAGGGGACGAAAACGAGGACGACGAGCACTCTTCAAAGCGACAACGGATCGAAATGGGAGATGAGCAAGGCCGAGGCCCCACTGAATTCACAGAAGAAGATATCATTGCCCAGCTACAAGCCATGGGCGAAGACTACGGTCTCGAGCCTGGAGACTACGACGACGGCAATATGGAGGACTGGCCCGAAGGCGCAGAGGGCGTGGAATTCTCAGAAGAAGACGCAAAGTTTCTATTCAAAGATATGCTCATCGACCTCAACATCAACCCCTACAGCTCGTGGGACAAGCTTCTGGAGGAGGGCAAAATCGTCGAGGATCCCCGCTACACGGCCTTGGGCACGACAAAGGCGCGAAAGGAGTGCTGGGACGAGTGGACGCGGGAAAAGATTGCCGAGCTAAAGGAGCAGCGGGCCAAGCAGGAGAAGAAGGACCCCAAGATTGCGTGGATGGCGTTTCTACAAGAAAAGGCATCACCGAAGCTGTATTGGCCTGAGTTCAAGAGGAAATACAGAAAAGAGGACCCCATGAAGGATATGAAGCTGTCGGATAAGGATCGAGAAAAATCGTACCGAGAACACATTAACCGTCTCAAGATGTCGCAGACGACGCTCAAATCCGACCTCTCAGCCCTCCTCAAAGCACAGCCGATACACCTCCTGCATAACAAGTCGCTTGCCAATGGCTTGCCGGCGCAGGTCCTCACGGATATACGCTACATTTCTCTCGAGCCTAAAATCCGGGATCCTTTGGTCGAAGCCTACGTGCAGACATTGGCGCCGCCTCCTGAAGATATTGCCTCTGCGGTTGAAGATGAAGAGCAGAGAAAGGCGCGCGAGGCTAAAGAGAAGAGGGAAAAGGCGTTGGAGGAGCGGAACAGGGTGATTGAGGAGCAGAGGAGGAGGCGGGAGAGGGATGTGGCTGTGAGCAAGGCGAGGTTGAGAGAGGAAGAGAGGGAGCTGGAGGTTGCGATGAGGGTTGGGAAAAGGGGGTTGCAGAGCCAGTTGGCGAGCATGAAGCCTCAGGAGGAGCAGCAAGAAGAAAAGGGGGAGTCATGATGATTGTATAGCAAATGAGATGGTTACTTAATGGTACAGCATGGGTATATAGATTCAAAGATCATCAAAGAAGCGATCTGCTTTCTGCCGCACCTCTCCTGCCCACCTTTCCACATCTTGCGTGCCCTCAATGCCATCCTCCGTGAGATACACATCTACCATCGTCGCAGGCACCCACTCAAAGTACACGTTCTTCACAGTCACGCCCCTCAGCTCCCCATCAGATCCCTCTGACGCCGACCCAACAACATCTCCCCAGCTACGAACAAGCTCCCCCGCATCATTGTCCTCATCATGCCCAGGCGGATCAAACGGCAAAATCTTCTCCTTTTCTGCAACGACGACGATTTTCACACCGGGAGAAACATGCCTCGCTGCGAGGACGGCGGGCAGAGAGCCGGTCTTGTTGCTCACGTTGCCGGATTTGTCGATGAGGTCTGCGCCGAGGAGGAGGATGTGCGCGTTTTGGGAGGCGAGTGCGGCGCTGGCGTCGGTGTGGAGGGTGATGCTGGCGTTGATGCTGGGGTGGAGTTGGATAGTGGAGGAGAGGCGTTGGGCGACTTTGACGCCTTCGAAGAGGGGGCGGGATTCGAGGACGTGGATGTCGAGGGGACGAGTAGAGGAATCTGATGAGAGGACGTGGGTGAGGGAGGAAGTGATTGTTGAGCTGGATGAGAGGGTGATGATTTTGAGAGGCTTGTCGCTGGGGAAGTGGTCTAAGAAGGAGGCGAAGGTGGTGATGATTTTGGTTCCCGATTGCTGTCTTGCTTTTGCAAAGTCCTTGAGTGCAGCGCAGATTTGTTCGACTATTCTGTTTGAGAGACTGCTGCTGCTGTTGGTTGGCAGATGCTTCTCGATGATGTCGAGGCTGGACAGGACGACGCTGAGGATAGGGGCGCCCATGCTCTCTCGGCCGTTCTTCCAGAGATGCCATGCTGCGAATCTGACATTCTTCCACCATGACGTTTGGTCGTTTGTTTCTAGACGGGGAATCACGTCGAGATAGATGTCGAGGGCTTTTGCTGCTAATTCTCGTGCACCACTTACATGGTCGTCCTGCAGCGCTTTAAGCCCAGCTGCTAGGACGTCGGCTGCGTCTTTGCCCAGATCAATCTCGAACCAGACTCGTCGTAGACTTTCTTTCAGTCGCGGTACGCCTTGAAAGGCTTCATCGTCGGAGATTTCATCAGGGTCGAACCATTGGAATGCCTCGTGCTCCCAGTCGATTTTGATGCCCTCTTCGCCTGCACCGCCTTGCCGAGCAGACTTCAGGATGAAAGCAAACGGGTTGATTGTCCATTCGCGGCCGACGTCCAAATCTGTGAAGGAATAGGGCTTGCCCTGGCGGAAGAGACGCAGAGAGGATGCTGTGAGAGTGGTTTCTTCGGCGAGTTCGCGCCAGGCTGTGGCGAGGGGGGAACAGTCTTGGGGGTCGACGCTGCCTGAGATGGGGGCGAGTTTGTGGCTGCGAGATTGTTTAGTGTTTAAATATGTTTTAAATACATAGAGCCCAATACGCAATTGCTTTCATAGCTATGTTGCTTAACGAGAATGAGAGTAAGTGAAGCGGTTTATACTGACGGATATGTATTTACCTCCCCGCTTCTACGGAACAGCGCAACCTGGGGTCTGCGGGAGACATTTCCGTCTGGGAACTTGAAGATGAAGCTGACTGCCACGGCTCTCTTCTTTAGCGAAGACATTGTCATAGAATTACTACCTATAGAGATTGAATAATTGGAACTTGATGCTTTTTGACGATGATTAAGTGGATGAGACTGAGTGCAGGTTGGAGAGTTTTGGAGTATCCAACTCTATTTTGGAGGTGTGGCGTGACGTGACATCAACGCAGAAGCAAGACGCAACGATTTTCACTTTATTACTATACGCCATGGCAGAGGTGCAATTGTTCACGTCAAGCATAGAGAGGGCAATATTTTTTATTTTAGAGTGCAAAGTTTCCTTGCTATCCCTGTATATTTCAGTTTCGATCAATTGATCTATAGCAGACGATGGTGCCCTGACACAGACAGCCAACACGCGTAATCAATTAGCAGCACTCTACTGCGTGTTAGTGTAGCGCTAGCCGCGAGATGGCCTCTAGCGCTCGAAACTCGCAATAAGTCCTTGTCAATTGAAACATGGAAACGCATGGTTATAAACAAGAGTGCATGGGTAATTTAAGTTGTCTTGTCAATTTCTTCCTTCCGTCCAAGGATGATTCTTTATCCTGGTCCCACATGCTCTCTATCTAAAGTAGCTAGTCGTAAATGCTCACCAAACACAGTTGGAGTATAACAAAAAGGTATCGTCGCTATGTCGCCAATTCAAAATGCAATCGCCACCACTTTGGAGGCCTCTGTAACTATCACACTGTCCATCATCTATCGCCCATCACTGCATAAAGCCATTGTACAACCCGGTGCTGTAGACGGGCCACTCGTCGTCGACCCAGGCCACTAACTCGTCGTAAAGGGCATGGTCTTCCCCGGTTTGCATGCGCGGCATTGAGTAGCCCGGAAGCGTCGTCATCATCGGCGGGGCAAGTCGCTGCTCAACCAGCTGAGCTGTGCTCACCTCCTGAGCCTGCGCTATCGAGCCCGTCAGTCTGCGAGCCAGCGTCCACAGGTGGCGCAGCGTGTTGGACGATGCCGATGTCTGGCCAAAACCGGTGAGGCCCTCTTCTTCTACTTGGATGCCAAACAGAATGTCTCTGTTTCTCGCTTCCCTCTCCTCTTCTGACACTTCCTCGTCCGAGATCAAGTCCTCCAGGATGAGGCAGACGGTGGCGTTGAAGGAAAAATGCTGCTCTGAGTACAGGGGCGACTTTCGAGCAATGTTCAACGCCCTTACTTGACGTCCGAGGCGGATGTTACGACGTGCAGCCGCAATGCACAGCTTCAGGTGCTCCGAGTGCGTGTAAGAATCGACTGTCTGCAACATGAGGCGCTTGGCTATCGATCTCTTCACGGCACCCAAGTACAGAGGCCGAATAGCCAGGATCAGGAGCATGTTGTATCTCATGTGGAGGAAACAACTGGCAGGGTCGGTGCTCAGCCCGTCGGGAGAGAGCTGCAGGCGAGGCGGAAGCGTCGACTGCCACTGCTGCAACATCCAGATGGCCTTGTCCGGCTGCCTGGATAGTCCTCCTCGAGATGCCTCCCACGGAGCTACGCGATACGTATTGCAGACGACATAACCAGAAATTCGGGATAGCTCAACGTGAGCCCTCAGCCCTGCAGCAGGGGGCAATGATCTATGGCAACAGGTAAGCAAACGTCGATGAAATTGACGGATAGCATTGGCCTTGAAAAGGAAAGGAGAAAAGGAGAAAAGGAGAAAAGGGGGAGAAAAAGCAGGAAAGGGAAGCGACTTACGGAGCATCTTCTGGCAGCTGAAGCCGGATGGCATCGTCCATGATTATGTGCGGCCGGCCCATCAGACAGCTCAGCCATCGGTCCATGATATATACGGTCCAAAACACTCGCTTGCCTCTCTCGTCAACCATTCCCCGATGCACGCCCAGCATAATGCAAATATGCATGGCAGCTGCGACATGCATATAGGCGGCATCTTTCCTATTCACCTCGATCAAATAGGCTGACATGAGACATAGTGTGGCAACATCTCCCATTGTGCAGCTGCGACTTATATCCAAGGGGTTGCCCACGAGAGATGAGGCATGGGCAAAGTACGCTTCGCTAAGCGAAGATGTTGATGCACTACCTCGGACCTCCTGAGACGGGGAGCTGGCTCTGGTGATGAGGGCCAGGGCAGCATGGTAGAATGCCAAGTGGCGATGATCGTTCAGGCTTGTGTCTGAAGCAGAAGAGCTTATATGAGCGGGAAGCATATCCAACTCTCCCCACCAATATATGCCACCGCTCGGCCATTCGCCGTTTCCATCTTGGATCAGATATCTCAGCTTTGACATCAAAGTTGCAAGGTCGTCGTTGAGGGGCAGCGGCACTGGCTGAGGCTCCATCTTAACCATCGAGCGAGAATCGTCGGTGTAGTACCTTCCCAGGCTCGACAAAAAGGCACTTCCGTCTTGCTCTTGAGATAATTGCGGCTCTACCTGAGACAGGGGTAGTACAGCTCCTAGCAGCTCCTTCAGATTATCCAGAAAAGTAGCACCGCTGGTCTCCCCAAGGAAGCTCGACGTGCCATCGGGGTCTTGCAGCATACGACTGGCTGTCTGCTCGTCTTCTGACTCGCCTTTGACCGAAGAACTAGCCTGACGGTGACTGCTTTCGGAAGGAAAAGACTGGCTCGGGCTAAGAGGGAGAGGAGACGGCGACGGTCCCTCTGGGGTTGAAGAGACATGGTTGATCAGATCCTGCCTCCTGGCGGGGTCAGGGATGGTTTCTTGCAGCGCCCTCTCATACAATTCGACTTTGCGCCGCAGCTCCTCCATCTCAGCGCGCGGCACGCTGATTTTTTCGACTGCGACGGGATAGACGCATTCGCGGTTAGAGGCGGCGCACTGGCCGCAGGGAGTTCCGCCGGAGCACTTGACCCGGCGCACATTACAGCTGTTGCATCTGGTTTGCGACAAGAGACGAGGTCAGCAAAGACTTGTTGAACAATATGGAATGTGGAATGGGGATGGCACATACGCAGTGGCAACTCGTTTTCGCTGCTCTGGAGCTACTTTGTGGCGGCGAGGATTGACGGGAAGCCGCTGGGTCGCCGAGGGCCGTCTGCCGTCGCTGCCGTCGAGCTGCATTGTGGCGAGTTGTTGACGAGTTGTCGACGAGTTGTCGATGAGGCTCCAATGGTGATGTGATGTTAGTTCCAAGTCGAGATGCTTCTCAATGGATGCTGAAGAAGCATTAGACTTGATCAAGATATCTGCAATGACTCCCAATCTCAAGAACAGCACACGCAGCGAGCCATACCTTTTCTATGCGACTGTCTGTGGGCCGTCACCAGCAGCCGTACGTACGTATGTGGATGCGTACGTATGTCAATCACGATAGTTGCTCCGAGTCACTACACGCCGATGAGTGAACAGCCAGCAACAGTCCAGGAGAGGCACAGAGAAGAGCCATGACCCCCGCCAGAGTGTGGTCGCATCAGATTAGGACCTGGCCTGGCGTCGTCGTCGTGCGTCGTCACAATCTCTCCATCGACAGCCTCTGATAGCGCTTCTCGCCGAAACGGCCACCGCCCGCCTCAGCTCCCATCGGGCGATCCGTGTCTCAGCGTCATGCGGCCTCGTGTACAGCGAAAGCCGCCTCGCAAGGCTGGGACTGGGACTGTGCTCGATTCATCTCCGGCCGGGGGCCCTTTGACGGACTTGAGCGCGGGGAGAGGCTAAAAAGTGGGCGACGAGACAGGATTGAGGCGACTAGGGCGATATAGCGGGTGGTAAGCCCCGAGTTTAGTGCCAGCAGCGCTCTGCAGCTGGCTCTGGGTGCTGGATGCTGTGCTGGATGCGCCTCAAAAGGAGGTGGCAGTTTGGGCTGTACAAGTGGCCTGGACGCAACGGAACGTTACGATGCTGCTGTCCAGTGGAACTTCTAGAGATGGAAGAGAGGTGGAAAATGAAATCCCGAGCTTTGTTTCACTTGCATACTGGAAACATGCCTGTTGAGTCTGAGCCTTGCTGACCTTGCCGTATACACCAAGCTATTGCTATCAAATGCAGCCAGGCTCGTATTTGCTCGTACAGCGCTACAGCTATTGCTCGCACGAGGCCGCTGCCATGCGCTGTGGAAGGTTCCGATAGGGCGCAGCCACGGCGGCTCCCCCACGTTGTTCTGGCAGCTCCAGCGTCCACCTGCCCCAAATCGCCGAACCCTGCCAGGGCCCGTCCATGCACTCAATTCTGCTGGGTTGGACCAAATGCTCAATCAAGCGTTGCCCTTCTGACGGGCGGATTCGCGGCTAACGCTGTTGAGACGTAGCGGATCGCTCGAGGGCCATTGACGCTGTCGACAGGCCCAAATTGGCGCGCTCTTGCGGTAACGGTGACGAATGCTGCCCCTCGACCTACGCAATGGCCTTCGCGGCCTCGTCGCTTTTCTGACCAATCTTTCTGACAGGGTTGCTAAGAATGGAAGGAAATATTGAGTAAATTGAAGAAGCATAAACAAAACTGGAATAAAAATAAAATAAAAATAAGACAGCGAGTGTTTTGCATCCAGCTTTCCTTTTTGGGGAGCATACATGTGGGCTTTGCTTGATCCTAGTAGCTATTGCCAGGCACAGCGTTGAGAATGGAGAGAATCGAGCAGCACAGCCCTTTTACAGCGCTTTAGATGGAGGGATCTTGCATGCAGCAGTTTGTACACAGCCACGCAAGTGAAACAGGACAGGTAGTGCATGCATACATACATACAAATAGGCAGGGACAACATACTACTATAGGCAGCTTGCAAAAGTCATGATGGCCTCACTCTTCGTTTCAATTCTCAATCAACATTCAATATTATTCTGACACCTTTGAAACAATTTTTTTTGTCAGCTGCTAACGCAAGGCACGAGGCCGAATTACGTCTCCTTGCATCTCTACCCCATCAGCGCTCGCGTCACCATGCGTCCGGCATCCACTCAATTGCGCGTCCAACTCGGCCATCGTCCTTGTGGATGGAAATTTCAAACCCATCCATGCAACAATCTGTGAAAAGTTTGGAGGTTCCGCGGAGCCCGTTGCCCTGTGCTGAAAAGGATAAAAAGAACTTTAAAAGTCTCTTTT